TAAATTCAAATTTAGAGCAATTATTCAAGAATCTACCAAATCCTTACATAATGTGAATTAATAGTAATATTATGCATGCATATCAAAATATACAACTTTCATGATGAAAACGAGTCGCTATAAATTATTTGCGTGACAGTTTCAAAATCGGTGCGAAATTGAAAGTAAAGCACAAGTGGATATATTTATATAGCTATCTTAGAAGGAATGTACGTGATTTAATTATTATTGCACTTTCTGAAAAAATGTTGCAACGATGCAGATTACATATTATTAAATACATGGTATTCATGCCATTACTATGAACTTCTGACCTTCCCTCCTCACTCGGATGAAACTTATTCCTTTCTTTGTTAGCACAGTATTCAGCTTAGGAAGGTACTAAACTAAATCCCGAAAAGCTAGTCAGCTAGGGGATATCTAACAGATTTTACGAATAAGTTTCCATAAAGTTATTAACCATACTTGTCCTTCGAGATTTTTACCAGGAACTTAGTAGGTTCCAATGTAAATGACGCGTGTTTAGTTGATAAATCTAAACATCCATCTCTACCTGACTTAACCTTAACCATGACAATTGAGGATGAGGCTGTACCAGTAGAATAATTTTGCCCAAAGTTGTATGATCGACGTTTTGTGGTCCATGGTGTCCCAAAGTTTACCTACAACCTATAACGTTTTAGCATCAAAAATAATTTTTCCGACCAAAGTCAGTAGGTGCAATATCTATATTTATGAATACCACAATCATGGTCATTTTGTAGAGTTTAGGGATAAATATAGGGTACAGCCGGGGGTACAACACACGTTAAAATATTTCTTGCAAATGTAATTGGATGAAGCCTCTCCCAAACATTGCTATATCAAATTGCATTTTTTTATTCAATGTGAGTGACTACACCATGTCTGCGGTCTTTTGGAGCCATTTTCTCCCAGCTTATCTCTTCTGTTTAATCCTTCGGCCTTATTCATAGTACAAAATGTATCGAATAAAATGAGATTGACAATTAGTTTCGGTTGCAGCAATGAATGTTTCCTGTAAAATATTCCAACAATCAATAGCAACTTTCTTATAAGAAATCTCTCAAAGAAAAAATCGCTTCCATCTGTTGCGTTCCATAAAGCCAGTAGCAGTAGAGAATAAGTGATGTTTAAAAGTCGTACAACGCTTAACAGGTTTCCCTCAGCTCGACTAGCTGTTTCCCTACCAGATGAAATGCTGCAATTATCCAAGTATTCGCATGCCGCTTGCCTTATGAGGATAAGGAAAATGTACGGTAATCTTCAGCTGACGGAGATATTTCAATATCGTCCTCCAAACAAAATGATACTGCTGACTATTCGCGCATAAGTTGGTATAGAACAGACCAAATGTTTCTTTGAAGTCAATACGAATTTTTAGAAAACATTTTATATGCAGAACCCTTACTGAGTCAGCGAGATATTTCTAAGAAATCACTGGCCACAGCCACAGAGATCTTTCTCATGGGCGAACTTCACCAAGAAGGAACGAGTCTTACAAATTCCAGTAGCGATAAGAAGTAGCTAATTTATCTGTTCAGTGAAAGAAAGTTTCCATTCAAACTTCATGGGTGTGTGCAACGACTCTGAAAGTTACGACTGATTAACAATTATGATGAAAAATTAAAGAATTATTTAAAAATTAGAATTTGAAATTTGCACAAATCTGTATAGCCTAACAATACTTCTGTGCTGCTGTATTAAGGTCACAAATTAGATACTCGAACATTACAGCGAACATTTCGAAAGCTGCTTTATATCTCATAATTTAGCAACAAATAATAAAATTAATCTCGTTTTGCTATTCGTCCATGTCCTTAATAAACCTTTCAACACTCTCAGATTTGTCATCTCTGAGTAATAAGACCAGGAATTAAGCGTCAAAGAGCAATGCGTACAGATATAATTTATGCAAAAGGCCGACAAAAACACAAATGTCAGACCAATTATCGCCGTAAAAATGTTTATAAAAGCCACATAGTCGAACTATCTTATTGCGTAAAGGCCGCTGAGATTTTTTAGCTTAACGGTAGTTAATTACCTTTCTGCTTAGGTAATGAGCTTTTTTGGTGTAGTGCTTGCACCTTTATGTGGATGTTGTGACAATTGCTCATTGTTTAACATTTCGGAACTAGGAAGTTGCAAAAAGTACTTACTTGCATTTTGCGGATCAATTTCTTGAGTTTACAAGACTTTGCTATTGTTGCAAGATTTATATTTTAAGAGTACTACTTGTTCTTCTTAGTTCCCACACCAAGAAGTATTATAATCGCGAAAAATTTCGAAATTCACGTACTATGTTTTTTGGATGTTATACCACCGACACCATGTCATTCATTTCCGGCCGTCTGCATGTCTGTCTGCCTGTCTGTCCACTAATCTTTGGCCCTCCTATAATTTCTAAAGTACACCTTGGATTTGGATGAAACTTTCATACGTCATTACCACTATGCCAACGATAAAAAAGCTTACTAGCTTATGAAAATCGGTCAAGTCCTAGTAGAAAAATGCCAAAAACGAAAAATAACAATCGCTCAAACTTTTTTTGACGTTTTAAAAGACCCAGATCATTTTTGAAACATTTTTGAGGGACAAAATTTGGGAGTCGGGGCTGAACGGGAGTAGGAAAGGATGTATCACAATTTTTTGATGTTAGTATGTTAATGTACTTCCAGCCCCAGTAATTCTATTAGGCAAATTTTACACATCATATATTTCCCCGTACATTTGCCCGTAAAACATATTTTTAGCAGACGGATCATCTGCCTATCGGTCGCACTTGCCGTGTGCCACGAGGTTGTAAATATTGCCTCTTTGATTGTGTAAAGCAGACGGCGCAGTGATGCGATATCCACATAAGAGGTGGGCGCGGTATCTAAATATATTTACACCAGAGCTCCAAAAAAATGTGGCCACCATGTACAGACACGAATCAAAGCAAAAACAATACACTAATGGTTCAAACAAAGCCTACGTTTTTTTGCGTGGAATTGAAACACGTCGGGTACATGTGCTGTAGCATGTTACAACTGTCAGAACGTCTGGCTCTTGTTGCATAATATTTACGTTGATATCTGCAACACTTTGCCCATACAAAAATTGCCGGGCACTTGTTGCAAATTGAAATGTCTGCGGCGCAAATTGTGGTGCAAAGTTGTAATGGAACCGTACATTCACAAACTATGTTCTACGAGTAAAGGTTTGCTTCACTTGTGCAAATTTACTGACCCACAGTAAAGGAAAATGTGCCAACTAGGAATGATCGGTGAACAGATGATATGAAAAATTTAGTAGTATATTGATAGTTTCATTTTCCTGCTATACGTTAAAGCACCAAGTTGAAGTACGCTCATGATCCAGGTAACGAAGTCATTACAATGCGTATAAGATTTACGCAATAATATCCTATTCAATTGGTAGATATTGCCGATAAGGTGAGAACGAGACACAGTTACAACCGTAATTAGGTAACACTGTCACTTAAATCTTTCTAATTGAATTGTCAAAATGAAGAATGATCGGAAAATGACTCGGGGAACCGACGTATGTGGTTTGAAATTACGGCAGTGAGAGATTACCCTTCAAATCTGAGAAAAACAGATTGTGAATATAAGTTAATTAGTCTAGCAAACTTAATGTATTTTGAATTTGGTATTGTAACAATCAACCAAAAAAAATCTACATAAATTTTGATAAACCAGCATTAAACTCTATTGTTTTCCCAAGCACAGATGGCTGCGGCTATATTTCGGATAAATTTTGTTTAATGCTGTTGTAGTAAATGGGAAACAAGGTTAAGGTATAAAATTAATTGAAAGTGATAGCAGAAAGGCATAGTATGTGAGAAACATTCTTAATTTATGTGACAGTTATATTTAATGGTGATAAAAATTACATGTTTATAGATTCAACACTTATTAATATCCTACAACACCATAAAACCATCAAAGCCATATAATTTCACTTTCAGATGCTGTTTCTCTTTCAGTACTAATGCAGCACAATAATTTTTGGAATCTTGTAAAAGTAAATGTCAATTTGGCATATACGTCATTTTTCGGTTACTTACTTCCAACCGGATAATTGGGTAGCGTACCGTTATTAACGCTTGAAGGTACCGTGGGTCAAAAAAGTATTGGCACACCCCATTCTTTTCTTGAATCTCAATCATGAAATGATGCATTTTTTGTTACTACATTTATTTGGAATCGAACATCGAAATAAGAAATGTTGATGGCAATAAATTGCCAAATTTTAAGTAATATAGGAAAAATAATAGGAATTACGAAATTCAAGGATCAAAAAAGCATTGGCACACTATAATAAGTTTTAACAAAATTCATTTATAGCTAGTAAGTTGATATAATAACATTTGTATCGATTAACATATACATTTAAATACATTTTTTGACACTAGCTTTTTCTTTATCTCTCGTAATTTAGATTCAAGAAAAAAGCAGGGTGAGTCAGTACTCTTTCAACCCACTGTGAGCAATGTTTTGAGCTCTAAGATGCTGACATTACAAGAATTATATCTTCACCTCTATGAGACGATTTTTCACTCTGATAAGTAGCCTGAGATATAAATGATCAATATACAAAGTTTTGATAACAGAGGATTCGCACTGTTGCAGTATTGCTTTATTCTTCGAAATTAATCTATACTTTGGAGGAAAGCTAACTATAATAAACGAACAAAAGAAAACTATTTTTGCTTTGTTATGTGTGGGGCATCTATAGACTAATCAAAATGTTTCTTAGGAGCACATCACACGGATGTAGGTGCTCAGATGTTTTTACGAGTTCAGTTTCATCAACTTTTTCTCAAACTGGGGTCATAACTATTTTACTTATATCAAAGTTCTGCAGCTGTACAGTTACCTTGTTATTTCAAGACAGAGATGCTCGAAATATTTGTTGCCTCATAATTTAAGACAAACCCTCTATACATCAGTAATTCTTATTTATCCTCTTTACAGTGCAAATACTCAAATGGACAACGATGTTACCCCTGTATACCTAGCAGCCCAAGAAGGACACCTGGAGGTCCTGAAATTCCTAGTCCTAGAGGCAGGAGGGTCTCTCTATGTTAGAGCCAAAGATGGAATGGCTCCTATTCATGCTGCCAGCCAAATGGGATGTCTCAACTGCGTGAAATGGATGGTAAGCATCATCAACTATTCACAAGTCTATCAAAAACTAAAAATTATCCACATGTTATAGTAATTTGCAAAGTTAATATTATGGCTTAAGCAATGACTCAGTAAACTGCTTGGAACTTGTACTGGTCAAATGGGTGTTGGTTGAAGTCTCGTGCTTCAGACTTTGAACGCATCTCTTTAAGTCAGAACAGACTTTGAAAGACCCAGTATCTGGGACTTGAATAAAAAATATCGGTCACTTGGTGGTCTGCCTAGTCAACTTTGGGTTGGACTGCATGTACTGGTAAGATACTGGTCTGACGCCCATTTGGTATCAGCCAATTATTATTAGAGTGTAACATCTTGAAACATTAATTGAAATTAGAAAACTTTTTTGATTTCAACTAAGTGACATATTCTCAGATTCAAGACCAGGGTGTCGATCCCAACCTGCGAGATGGTGACGGAGCTACTCCCCTCCACTTTGCTGCATCCCGAGGACATTTGGAGACAGTTCGTTGGCTGCTGAAGCATGGCGCTCGGCTGTCATTGGATAAGTTTGGCAAGAGTCCAATTAATGATGCAGCTGAGAATCAGCAAGTGGAAGTAAGTGCATTTCGATTTTCATAAACGCAAACTGTCACATTACACGCCTTTCAGTTGTTGATAAAAATCTAGCTACATAAAATAGACACTATTCCTTGAAACTGATTTTTCAATGATGTTTCAAATTGAATTGTTTGTCAAAATCAGCATTCTTCTCAATTAATTTGGATAATTGTTAATAAGTCTTCCAGATTATACTTTAGGTCCAGTTCGAAGACATCACTTTGTTTATTCACTATGTAGTCCGGCCCTGGATTACTAGTCGCACACCAAGTTAAAAGACAAGAGATCCCCGCTCCCGTCTCGTCGCTCTCCGGTCTTGCACGTTGAGTGTTGAGTCATTCGGTTTTTGGTGTTACAGTCGTACGGTCGCCCGGCTTGTTTGTGCGTTAGGAAACACGTAAAATACGCGATTCCTTTTCAAATCGGTTTAGTGCTTGGTGAGTAGGTTGGTAAGTAGGTACAACAATGGGTTGTTTTGTTGCTCATCTAGTAGCACGTTATATATAATATAAGATATACTTAGCAGAAAACCATGGAAGAAAAGCCTGGCGGCAGGGACCACGTCAATGGTTCCATGAAATTTCAGTTTTTTGAAATTGGCGGCTGCGCCAGAAAATTAGTATACATATATCATATATGCACATTTTTAAAGAAATATGCACAATTTCTATTGACATCTTTGCACAATTCAAAGTCTATCGAGAACAACACTGTCAAGGTCTCGTTCGCGGAGTAGCATCAGTCGTAGTCGATCACCGAGCGTGTCGAGGCGACGTAGAGAGAGACGAGAATATGTGCGGGAAAAAACCAGAATTCATCAGCCCAGCTGATAATGCACAGCGTCAGGTAGGCCTGGCTGGTCGTTCCTCGTGCGGGCCGGAAGGTCAGGTACTGACAGGGCCGGATTTGGGAGGCGTCAGGTAGGCCTGGCTGGTCGTTCCCCGTACGGGCCGGAAGCTCAGGTACTGACAGGGCCGGATTTGGGAGCGGCGCCAGTAACGCAAAACTGTATGGACGATGTTTTGATACTCGACGATGCCGATTGTATGCCATTATCAGAGGACACATTAAATATTCTAGATGCCGATCCTGAAAAGGCTAATACGTCTAGTTTTAAACTTCACGGTGCCCTAGCCTCCAGGTGGTCCCATATTTTGGCATATGTATATATTGACGCGTTTACGATTCCCTGGAATCGATTTTATTTTTACGCATTTCCACATTACAACAATATAACAGTTCGTATAAATTATGGTGGGGTTATTGCTTCAGTAATGACATTTCGCTTTTTAATCCCACAATCAAAGAAGTGGTGTCATTCTTGCAAGAATTGACAAATAATCAAAACCTTACGTATGGTACTTTTAACTCCCATACATCTGCCCTTTCATTAATTTGCTCAAAGGATTTAGCCTCTAATCCGATAATTAAACGCTTCAAAAAAGGCATCTCTCGCTTACGGCCTTCACGACCAAAGTATACTGCCACCTGGGACCCTATACCCCTTCTAAATTATTTAGAGAAGTTATCATCACCGCTTAGTCTTCAAACTCTGTCACAGAAATTAACGACGTTATTAGCCCTGATAACAGGAGAAAAACTCCAGACGATATCTCTTATACGTCTCTCAAATATAATCCATGGTCACAGTGAATCAACTATTAATATATCGGATCCAATTAAAACCAGTAGAGTTGGAAAACCTCAACCCACTCTGCACATCCCGATTTTTCAACAAAACCCCTTTCTTTGCGTGGCCACAATCCTGAAAGAATACATTGATAGAACGGCTTCTTTAAGATAACCCAATAACGATTCCCTATTTGTGACAGGGAAAAAACCCCATGGCAGGGCGTCTAAAGACACTTTAAGCAGATGGGTAAAACAGACCCTTGCCTCTGCAGGAGTAGACACAACACTTTTTACGCCTCATTCAGTAAGGCATGCGGCGACTTCTGAGGCGTTAAGAAAAGGCGTTTCCGTAGATAACATATGTAAAACAGTTGGTTGGACGCAACGTTCCACGTTTGCAAGATTTTATAATCGTCCTCTACAACCAAACAATGAGTTTGCAAATGCAATTCTAGAAAAAATTGGTCTGATTAGTTAAGTTCTAATACTCTTGAGAGTTTGTTACATGTTTCCTGTGTTTCAGTTATTTCTCATATCAACGTTATCTTTAGGTTACAATTTGAGAAGTTATTTTATGTTTGTTACATAGGAGTACTAAATATATGGTTTTGTCGTTTCTGAACACTTTGATTCCACTTTATAACACCATCAGATCGCTCGCAACTGTGTTCTATCTTTAAACATCTACATAGTAAATAAACAAAGTGATGTCTTCGGACTGGACCTAAAGTATAATTAATCGATCAAACGAACTTACCTTAAGTGAAGTTCGATCGTGATTATACGAGGGTCCAGTCCGAAGATATCACCCCCACCCCTTTTTCAACCCTCCCAAGTTGCGAGCAAGTACCATTTCTTTTAACAAATGACTCAACACTCAACGTGCAAGACCGGAGAGCGACGAGACGGGAGCGGGGATCTCCTGTCTTTTAACTTGGTGTGCGACTAGTAATCCAGGGCCGGACTACATAGTAAATAAACAAAGTGATGTCTTCGGACTGGACCCTCGTATAATCATGATCGAACTACACTTAAGGTAAGTTCGTTTGATCGATTAAATATTGACGCGTACGTATTCTGCATAATCAGAAAGTATTAATACAATTAACGAATTATTAAGTAATGGCTTACATTTTGTAAGTATTTTTAGTGCTTTGAGATGATGAGCATATGGAGAGATGACCTTTCTGCTGTCCTATGGCCTTGAATTTATTATTTCAGCAGCCTTCCAATTCATTCATTAAGCACAGCCTCCCATTTTATGAGTAGACACAGACTATGTTTATCCTTAATTTTGTATTACTAGTACCTATTACACCGAAACCAGTCATGTAACTAGCTATTAACGGACATAATTCTTCATCATTCACTGTGAGCAGGTTACGCTAACTATAATAACGTCCTTTTTTTGATTGAGCATCCCTAGACAGCATTTTCAGCGAAATATATATTATATTCACGTTTGCTGAGGCATACCGCTACCAAGAGAACCACTGCTTGAACGGAAAAATGTGGATTGAATTCTTGTTATGCAGTTCTGTAAAGCAGTAATGTAATTCGCATGTTTTTGTGAAAAAATCGTAGATCTGTTGACACATTGCGGAAATTTGTAGCGTGGGGGTTGTCGATTAACAAAAAACTGGTAGATTTTAATTTTGGCCATTAAATTACATTTGCTTATGAGGTAATTCCTTTATTATTTCCTTGTACCTACTACATCATGCACATATATTTTTATACATAGTATAAGCATCTTGATTATTTGTGATTCTTTTAATGATACTTTTATTTGTTTCAGTGCCTGAACGTTCTGGTACAACACGGTACAACACCAGATTATGACGACACTACAGAACGGAATAGTACTGGGAAACCTTGTTCTTGTACAAGAAAGAATGAAAAATTCAAAAAGGTAAGATTTTTCTGTTTATTAGAAGTAATTCAATATAAAAAGGCATGAATGAGCATGAACTGAACATAGTGAAGTTAAAATTAAGGTGGAAGCGCGAAGCGCCCTGCCTTGTAAGGTTTTATGAAATTTGATGTTACCGAGAGTACCGTTTCCAAAGCTTAATTACGTCATTTCAAAATGTGTTTACCCGCTGTTTGGGATTGCCGGTAATAATAATTACAAGTTTTATGGCACGTTATGACCTTGTGCTTTATTTGATGAAATAATTGAAAATTGTACAGGGTGTTAATAAACTATGTAGACAAACATTAAACATCGAATCCATGGTCAATTTGAAGACTAAATGTTCATATGAACATGGGTCCGAGCTAGAGCACTATCACTAAAGAAATACGAGTAATGTTCCAAATATTCCTATGGATAATGAAACGTATTTATTGAACACTTGGTATAACCTATGATAAATTTTGCATGTTTTACAAGTTGCTGAGACTCAATATGAACGTGGATGAAAATAGTATCTATTATCCTGTATTTTTTGAAAAAAATTTTTTTTAGAAGGTCAATAGTTTTGAACAGCAACATTCGAATAGAACGACAACAATAGAAAATATCTAATAGTCTTCTTACAAGAAATGTTCAAAGTGGCCACGAATTATTTGAGAAAATAAATTAAATTGTTTTCGGGTACGTCGTAGGTGTTTAGATAAGCACAATGCTTAAATATTAAAAGTATGTCATCGATATCATCATTTCTTTTAGTGCTAATATGCTGAAGCTTGAAAACAAAGCCGTTGTGGACCCATGTTAATATGAAAATTTCATCTTCAAAGTGACCAAGGATTCGATGGTTAAAGTTTCTCTACATACTTGACCCTGTATAATGATTTAAAGACTGAAACTTGCGAAAACTTGAATCCTGTTGAAGAGCCAGACTAGTCCGCACTCAAGGTCAACACTGTGTGTTAGCATGTATACTGCCGTGCTTAAGTAAAAGGCAATGAAGGGTGAAAATCGAAGTCTAAATGATTGGTATTATCAGGAGAACTTAACTGAATGAATGTTGAATGTTATTATACGACTTTATAAAAATTCATTTAAATGTGATCATAATTCTTGTCGAGAACTAAAATAAATAACATAACGTCTTTAATAATCGTAAATCAAAAAGTAGTAACATGAGATTTACTGCTTATGTACTCTGTAAATAAAAGTTACTGCCCTTTTCGTAATTATGGAAAACGCAATAATGCAAAACAAGAACTTTATTTTAATATAATTTTTTTATATTGAAATTCGCATAAACAGCACAAGAGTAAATATATTTATATAAATAAATTAAAAACAGCCGGTTTTCATATATATAAAATTAAACGAGGAGTATTTGTATTTTTCGGAGCAAAAATAAAGTAATTGTTTATAACGATAACGACTCTTTTACTCTGAAATGTCAAGGATCTAACTGACAAAAACAGTAAAATAAACCGCATTTTTCTCAGTCGATAGTAAAATCAGTAGGCAATAAGGGTGAAAAGGCAGTACTCGTATCATACAAAGAATAAAAGCATATAGCTTGAAAATGACTGCTTTATTACTTTTTTAAACTGATTTACCCTTTAATGATATATTTTCTAATTGTAGTCATAAAAGAAATGTATTGGCCTCAAAATTTAAAAAAGGCAGTAGATGAAACTTTACCCATGTACGGCAATATAATGTATAGAGATTTCAAAGTGCAATTACTCTCTGTTATAGGGTAACGTTACCAGCGATTGTGCCACTTGCAAACCAAAGACGACAAGCAACGGCACCAGCAACAACATCAACAGCACCATTACCAGCACGGCAACTGCAAATGGCAACAACCACACCCCTACGAGCACAGAACCGTTTTTCCTCCATCCACCGCTCAGCGACAGGTCTCTAGAACCAGCGCATGCCACTGAAAATGGATTGTACATAAACCCAATGACCAAACATAGGAACAGGTATATACCAGCCCATTAATTTCATTGTATGCTGTAACAACTCTTTCGTAACTCGTGACTCTGGCTCATTTCAAAGAGGTCTAGCAACTTTTTGAGCCCGTATAAAATAAAGCACGGCTTTCAAGGGCCCCCTCGATTGAAAAAAAATATATATATAATACATTTCTGAGAGCTATAAGCATTCCTCCTCCCTCTCCGCTCTTCTTTTTGTTTCTATGCGGATTTCGGAATTCATCTATCTAGTGAGAGTGCGGTGTTGCTCCCTCGGAGTGGTTTTTCCATGTAGCTCGTTTTTGTGGAACCGACAAGAAAATTGGGTATATGGGGTTTCGGAAGAAGGGAACACTATTCTTCAACATAGTATGTCAGGGGCTTAAGTTACAGAACATAATGTTTCTATTTCATGCCATAACTTTCCTGCTGGTTCTACTTTTCTACTTACCTATTTCGTATATTTTTTTAAGATCCTCTCAAATAATGAATATGAAAATAATATGATAGAATACAGTGTACCAGTACCATAGTAGCAACACTCAAATAGATGAATATGAAATCAACGAACACATCAGATCAGTTAATGAACATGCAAAAAATCATAACGTCCAACTAAATCCTTCAAAATAAAAATAATTTTTTCGTATAAACCTTTAAAAACAACTTCAATGAAGGAGTAAAAAAATTGAGAATCCTTTTTGATGAGTGTCCCAAGTTCATATTCTACGTAAACAAAATTAATAAAAACTGCTTTCCCATCTTACGTCAGTTATATCTAGATGAGGAAATTCTCGATTATTATCAGACTAAAGGAATCTTATGCGAATCATTCATTATGTCCAAACATACTTTGTGATACAGTTTACAATTTTTACATATGTGTACAATATTTCTTTAATGTTTACAAAAAACTCAACATTCATGTTGCAGACTAATAAGTTATAGACCTATGACCTTTGAGATACTTGGGATGGTTGAAGGTGAGAGAGCTATATGAGTTATACCTATTAACTTACACTCATGCGCTCTTGCTTACCTCGATTCCATCGTTTCGAAAGGACAAACTGATACCTGGAAATTCTTTTTACTTATGAGAGATACGGTTTACTGAGACACTCACAATGTCTCTACACAAAACCTCATTCTTTTTTCAAGTTCTTCACACACAACACGGTCACACTTCACAATAAAGTACCTCAGGGATTAAAATCACTAGATTACAATTTTTTTAATAAACAGATTAAACAATTTATTTTAGAAAAGTATTCACTAGCATAGCTTGACCTCTCACTTCGCAAAATAATTTCCTTTCAGTATAGATTCATATGTATAAATAAATTTTTCATTATCTACTGTGACTACAATAACATATTACGAGCCCCTTCCCACAATTACACATATCAACCTATTTTCATTTCAATGCAAAATAAGTCTATAACCATAGGTGGCTGTGAAAAATAAAAGCCATGACAATTGTTTTTATTAATCACAGCTGTCAGAATACGTTTAAAATAGTTTTGGGTAGTTAAGGTTTTCAAAATGGGTAGAGGAAAGGTTATTAGTGAGAAAATTCGGTTACTGATAAGTAATTTTTTTAATTCTGGGTAATCAAACTCAGAAATTGCAACTTTGTTAAACTTATCGCGGTACAGCGTGAGAACTATTGTTAGAAGATATAACGTAACTGGTTCATTTAATATTAAGCCACGATATGTGAAAAAAAGTAATATCACAAATGCCGACCGAAGAGCATTAAGAAGAATAATTGTGAAAAACAGGAGTGCCAATTATTTACAATTAAGTGCTCTGTGGAGTGACGCTGTTGGAAGGAGAATTTCGAGATCCACAACTCATAGAGAGGCCCACAAACTTTACAAGGTAAGTTTTCTTATAAAAAAAAGTGAAGTAAAAACCCTAAAGTTGCACAACTTGTTTATAGGCCAAAGAAAAGCCACTATTAACTCCACTGCAAAAGAAAAATCGGCTTAGATGGGCTAAAGAACATAGACAATGGGCACCTCAACAATTTTGTGCAATACAATGGAGTGATGAGGCCCGATTCGATGTTTGTGTTGGTGACAGTCGCAGTAGATTTATTCGCAAAAAAAAGAAGCATTCCATGTTGACCGTCTGAAGAGAAAAGTGAAATTTCCAGCATCCATTATGGTCTGGGGCAGTATGTCATCAAAAGGAGTAGGAAAACTTCCTTTTGTCGATGGAAATGTGGATACAAACAAATATGTGGCAATTTTAGAAGAATCGCTTTTACTAGTGATGGAAGAATGTTTGACATCCGGCCAAGATTTTGTGTTTCAGCAAGATGGTGCAGCGTGCCATACCTCAAAAATGCTATAAAACGGATGGAAGAAAATAATGTACCACTTTTGAAATGGGTTTCCAGCAGTCCAGATCTGTCACCTATTGAAACTTTGTGGCACGAGATGAAAAAGATTCTACGACAACATCCTGCTCGTACAATCACCGAACTGAGACAAAAGCTTCAAGAAATATGGGATTGTTTTACACCAAATTTTTGCCAAAACTTGGTTAACACTATGCCTCAAAGAATTTCAGCCGTAATAAAAAGTAAAGGTGATGTTACGCAATGGTAATCTTTCAATTGTTGCTTTGTTAACTTCGCGCATTTATTCGCACATTGTTTATTTGTTCAGATGTTCTATTAGTTATAGGTCTAAGTGATTTCAAATATGTATTTTTTACGACTAGAGTGTATCTAAAATATTTTTGAGAAAATAAATTGTTTTAGAAGTAAATAGTTTCGTCATGTTTAGTTTATAAAGGCATATTTTGGTACAAATCTTGAAGTGGGCCAGCTGAAGTGGGAAGGGGCTCGTATATACTATATACAAGGGTTAAGTGACAGAATAGCTTCAAGATAAACTTCGCGCTCGATTAAAGATGTTTATTATTATTACTATTAAATAAGAATGATAGTTCTGACGAGTTGTAAGTTAGCTATCAAGATTCACAATATAAATACTGTTATGTCAGTTGATATTTTCATTTTTCAGTGCATCAAGCAGTTCAGAGAGCAGCTGTAGTGGAAGCGTGAATGGAGAGTCGTTTTACCTTCATAATCCCCAAGAAGTTATTTACAATAGAGTTAAAGACCTTTTCGAAGCACCAGCTCAAAGACAGTCTCTCTCAGCTCTGACAGGTAACGATGTTGTTCTAGGATTATATTTTCTTAAGATGTTCTCAGTTTTTGATGTACGTATCTTGCATATGATAAGTGGTTTGGGCACTCTTTAGTTTTTTGGAATATTCCGTAAGGTGACTAGAATCCCCAAATCCATGCGAACATAAAAAGTGTCACTGTTTTACTCTCAAGCTTAATTCTAACTCGCCGCCGTAGACTAACTAGAGTAATGGAAGGGTAGTGAGATACTAAAGAAATGCCATAGGTAAACAATTATTGCTGTTGACAAGAAATAGATATAAGTGCGGATATGTCACCAAACATTGTTTTGTACTACAACTACTGTTAAAATAATACAAAGAATATATTTGTCACTCTTACTGCGGTTTTTATAGCACCCGGTATTTGCAATTCATTGCAAGCCGTTTCAAGGAACTTTATTCAACGAGTTGTTTGTTTTAATGTGTTTTGGTAAGAGGTTTATCAACAAGATCTTATAATTTATGCAATACTATATCAAAACCGCCAAAATAATCTTCCTTTAAGCTTCACATAATTCCAGTGCCTGAAAATGCTAGAAACATGCCTTAAACTGCCCAAAAGGTAAAATATTATTCCGAAAAAGGCGTCAACATCCTCTATAGACATTATTTTTCTCTCAGCCGACTAATAGAATCATGAAAATAGGTGTAATCGGTGTACATCCACCGAAATGGCAAGTTTCCATATTTTGAATTACATAGTTACTTTGAATAAGACTATGAATGTCTTTCTTAATCTTACATAGAGGTATTCATCTATAGTCAACGCCAAACAAAGTGGCGTGCACGTCATCAAGGTGGGTGTGTTGAAAAATTTACATTGTTGCCAAACTTTTTGTAAAATAATAAAATTTATTATTTACATATCTAGGTTTATAAGCAATATTAACCTCAAATGAGAACAAAAATAATAGTATAATAAAATTATAGATCTGTACTTGCATAATCATTAAGTATGACAATTATTGATCAGATGACACTATGAAACTACCATATTTAATTGATAGCTTAAAGGTACTGAATAAAAATCCAAATGGGGTCCTCCAAATTTTATGCATGGTATTTATTTTACAGAATTCATACAGAAAAATGCATTCTAAAATTAGGTAAGCTACTGCTGCTACTTTCTGTACAATAAAGTTAGTCGGAGTTTCTTTCTTCAGCGCTGTCTGAATCTGAATCTTCATCACTCTCAAAGTTGATTATTAAAGGTTCGATGTCTGGTCGATCAAAAATTCGTTCTCTTTCATACCATTTAAAAATTTCTTGCTCAGTATGTCGAACACTATTTTTCCACATGTCTGGGGTAACCGTTTGTAGAGCCTCGTTCCACATATCCAAACAGTCTTTTTCACTGTTACCATCTCTACCAATATGTCTGTTATAGTAACCTTTTGCTATGCCCCAAATTAACTCAATAGGGTTAAATATACAATGGTAAGGAGGCAGACGAAGAACTTTGTGCCTATGTTGTTCCGCCAATTCATCAATCACGTATATTTTAGGTGGTTTGTTTCTAAAAAAGCAGTTATTTTAAGAATAGGAATAAACAAAAGAAATATAAACTGTCGACCAAAATATATATAATTAAGAAGCATTATGTACCGAGCAACAATACTCAATAGTTCTGTTTTAAACATTGTGTTTAAAAATGGTATGTTTTGATTTGTCAACCAGTCTTGGATATTTTTTTTTGTCCATGCATTGTTGGGCACTTTGTTCAATATCATGCTGTGATAAGGGGCGTTATCCAGTATAATCATAAATGGACTCTCCAATTTTTCTAATAACTGATGTTGAAACCATTTCAAAAAATTGTCCTGGTTCATCTCTCCATGGTAATCGCTCAATTGTGTTTTCGAAGAAAATATCGCTTCACTACCCTCAATAAACCCATTTTCATTTCCAGCATGTAATATAATGTATCTAAAATATATTAGTTTTAAATTTTATAGTGCAAATTGTGTAAAAGTACATACCTTTTACCATCTGTTTTAATAGCCTTCACGCTTTTTTGGTTTCCATTTTGCCAAGAGCGACCTATGGTCCCATTTTGAAATATCCAAGTTTCATCGAGGAAGACAAACTGGTATAAGGCCTCAACCTTGGCTTGATTGTATTGCCTTAGAAATTCCACCCTTTTCAAAGCTATACTTGGTAGTTCCATGAGCCCTCGTCGCGGATTGTCCTTAAGCCACTTAAATCCAAGATCTCTAAGCAACCGCCTTAAAGACGTGGCACTACCATCAAATAATGCCCTATCTCTTAATCGAGACCATAAAGTTTGTATCGTAACTTGTTCTTCTGAAACCATGAGTAATATGACATTATAATTTAGTTAACAAATTAATGCAAATTCCTGATAAGTTATTATAATAAGATCTTACTTTTGTGATACATATTATAGATCACTTCTCGAATGGCACTTGTATCCAATGTCGCTGTGTTGGTTACACGTTTAATATAACTCCGCTTTTTCTTGGGCGATTCTAAATTTGCATCACTTTTCACACCCTCGGAAATACGACTAACTGTCCTTAAACTAATTTTTAAAGCAGCAGCAACACGCTACAAAAAATGAAATAAAATTTCACTATTATTAATATACATTACATATAATTATTAGTAACCTACCTCTTGAACAGCATTTAAAGGCAACAAAGGCCCGTTGTTGTCCCTTTCTTGCTCAAAGTAGTGCATTAACGAGGCCACGAGTTCCTTACACCGACTATTTAACTGTTTGGGCATCTTTATATACCAAAATTGCCTTTATCTACTCGTAAAATGAATAATTTTGTTTTGAAACAAACAGTTGTTGATTTACAGTATGCGGGGCCAAAGGATTTATAAAGATTTGAAATGCCACAAATTGATTCAGTGTCAAAATTAATACAAATGTCAGTTCCCAGTTTAAATAAGTTTCAAGGTGACAATGTGTCAACGCTGCGAAATCGGTTTAGTGCGTTTACATGTCGATAAGTGATTGGAGCGTTTGCAAAACATTTTATTTCGCATAATGCGTCTAAATTTATCAGAAAGCAACTTATGTGATATTTTAATAACAATATTTATATGACTATTAACCATAATAAGAGAGTAATGACCATTTTACAATTTATATATCACATTAATATGAAACTGCAATAGAGCAATTGTTTGTGATAGAAACCTAGGCATTAGGTCGGGGAATTTTTATCGTGATGACGTGCACGCCACTTTGTTTGGCGTTGACTATAACACAGTTATTTTGTGGAAGATGTAGTAGGAACTATGTATCCACCACTTAGTCCGCCGTCTATCGCCGATCCATTTAGATATAATTACCCTAGATGTTGCAGCTCTAAATATTTCTTATGAGGAGCCGAACTCTTTGTATATCCTTTAACCATGTATTATGTCTTCCTCCTACGGATTTTATGCCCTCAACTTTATCTTCTGATATCTATCTTAATAACTCGTGATTATTTTTCCCATTAGATGACTTATGCATGTCACTTTTCATTTTTCCATAATCAACGGTTTTTTCTCTTTCGAAGACAGGATCAGTCAGCAAGCTTGTTGGTCATGAGCCAGCTTTAGAAGTGCCCACTCAAATATTTACGAGGAAAATGGAGACGAGGATGGCAAGACAACAGAAATGGAGAAGTATCTCCAGACATCTCCGTCAGACACGGGAACTCAGTGTGGGCTCAGCGCTAAGGGTGGAAGTTTCTGCTTATCTCTGGTTAGAGCCAATCTAAGGTTGCTGGTGGGACTGTTGTCTGGTCATAACCTGCACGTAATGGGGGTAGCTGAGGATCCTTGGTGTGAGCGCTGCGGGGTAGAGAAAGAGACCTCGGCGCACGGTCTGTGACGCTGTGAAGCTCTGAGCTACTATAGGCAGACTATACTGGGGTCCATTCCTTTGGACCCTCAGGACGTCAAGGAGCTTGGCTCAAGGCCATACTCAACTTCTCTAGAAAGGCGAGGCTTGAGGTCTAAGGAATGTAGAGGTGCATAAGGGCCTGTTTAATCGGCTTATGCACTGGCTCCTTTTGGTGGACGGAATTCCTCTAATTTCACGATTCATTCATTCATTCATTCATTCTCTGTTACTACATCAACTTTCGCACCCTTACAAACGATCAACTTCAAGATTCATTTCAGTTTAGCAAAACAAAAATATTTCATTCTGTGAAACGTCCTTCTTGCTTGATTGATACCCGGCTTAAATTGTATTCTTGAGTCAGCGTCAACAAATATTCTTCCGAAGACAATCAATTCATTTTATTTACTTTCATAAAAAGCCCATATTTTTAGCAATGAGGTTTATTAATTCGCGCAAAACAGCTTTACTATCTGCTAACACAATACAATCATCCTCATAGCAGGTGTTACTCACTATCACTTGGTTCAGCTTTATTCCCTTGTGAACTTCCTGCAACGTTTTTCTGAGGTTTTCGTCTGAACTCTGAATGAATCAGGAGTTGTGACAAAATGCAACGCTGCCTTACTCCTCTGCATTAATGTAGTGTTATAGTTTAACGTTTGCCAGTATGTTTATTTCCGCTTTTATATGGCTTTATTGGCGTCCTATAATTTATTTAGTGTGTGTTGATTATCAAGTTAGGAAACAGCGAACAGCCCTCACCACAGAACACGAAAGTGATTTGATAAAAAATTATTTCTTTTTAAATTCATTTATATATGTATAGGTCCAACGCCGAGTGCGATACACCATCGATAGAAAGTATTCATTTACTTGCATAGGACTATGAATGCATAAGTTTGAAAAACAAAAACTTCTCAATAGGAAAGCCATATTCGGGTGTACGAGTTGGAAAATACTTATTTCCGAAAGAGGCTCGAGTAAAAGAGAATGGCGCCAAGTAGGTTAACTCTGCACTTGCAACGCAACGGTGTCATCAGTTCATAAATGATTATGTTCAGCACCAGCTAGCCCTTATGAAAAAAAAAGTTAGCTACGAACATTAGTATATAGCTTCTCAATAAGTCCATAGTCCTCACCCAATTTAAAACGTTGCGCTCTAGAAATTTCTCTCCTGTCCTATCGACAGTGCGGACCATCTAGCAACGTTTCTATGACTAACCTCGCCACTTGTCAGACACCCATCGGTCGGACATCGGTCAGACCACGAGGTGGGTATATCTACGTTAGTCGTGTTGGTGGTACGCGTGTATTGACTATATCTCTTTATCGTTCTAACTTTTAGGCGAATGTCATACGATCATTATTGTGGTTACTGCTTAGTGCTCATTCTGTCGGTAACCACAACCATAAATAATAACTGACGTCCTGGATACTCGGTCAGTAAATATCACATTCCATTAATAAGACTGAAAGACCACAAAAATACTTATTGTGTGACATTTCCATCAATGGAAAATCTATGATGCGAAAAATATATTTAATAGATGTGAAAAGTTACCGGGGTTCGAAGAGTACATATTAACTAACGCGGAAAAATTGAGATATACTCTCCCGCACACCCTACAACCCCCAACCCTCCATTTTAAGCCCTACAAATTTCAATGAAAATGATCAGAAGCCTTTGAAATCCCACAGAACCAAGTTTGAGCAACTTTTTTCTTGCTTGTAGCTCCGACATCAGTGGATTGAATTCCAAGAACTACACAGCTTTTCATCCTTGGCACTGTTGTTACTTTATTTCAAACCTTTATCAAAATCCGAACGGTACTTTCTAAGTTATAGCGAGGCCAAGAATTAGATGACAGACACACGAACACACAGACAGACAGACAAAAATAAGTAAAATGTTTATTCGTATAATATTCAAAAAAGCACACATTTCATTCTCAGAATTAGTCGTGATTGTGGAGTGAAAATAGAGAGAGATATCACTGGATCAAACAAGGATATGAAAGTCATGAAGTATATGGGTATATTATATATGGAAATGACGATGTTATCGCAGCTTTAACAATGTCCCCTGGAATGACTGAAACAAAGCTTGAATGAGTAGTTTGGTAATGGCAAGTCTTTAGGAAAACTAGAGCTTTTGGGTGTTGAGTTGAAGAGCGACATTGGATTGTGTCCAAATTAATATTTGCCGCTTTTACGTCTACTGAGGAGAACAGCTGATGAACAAGTAACGTCTGTGTACTATTCTGTAATGTTGGCAAGAACGAACCTGACGTAAATCTGCTTGCAGCCTATTTTTTTGTATGCGAAGAAACTTTTCTACATAAAAGAGTTGTTAGCAAATACTAAATCAATCCGTAGCGTACAAAAAACCATAGCAAAATACGGTTCTGCCTACCTGGCGTTGACCCCTCCATCAGAATTGTGTGCCACTTGTTGATATGGGGAATTTTGAAATATTACTAGATAATCAGCTGTTAAGAATAGCCGTAATAGATACTCGTGACAAAGACTGCTTCATTCATTGTTTTGTTCTAACCGAACAAGGGTTTGGATTGATCAAACTTGGTTTATTTAATGCTAGCATGAACCGACAAATAATGGAGGATTCGATTATTCCCCATACTCAACTGTACTTGTACAAGATCCTCTCCGACCCTCCAACTCATTGAAAGGTTCTGGGGAGGGTCTGATATTCTCTTCGTACACAGATGACAAGCAATATGGCTTTTCGATTTGACTATTTTGAGAATATCAGCATCTAAAACTTTTGCTTAAAAATTGATGATACAAAAAACTCAAACAATCAAATGTCTGGGTTTCTAAAAAGTTCACGGCTGTAGAAGTTATTCAAAAACGTAAAAAGTTCCACAACGTAAAAATATATTTATATAGCTACCAAAATGAGCGCTGTATGGCGTCACAAGAATACGCTTGAAGCACGTTTTGAAAACATACGCCAAGGTATCTAAAATACAACCTAAACTTATCAGAAAGTAAAGCCATGTACAAAAATAAAAGTTTGTCTTTCAACAAGCATTAACGACAGGCCTGAAAAATGAACGATGCTATTTTTCTACCAAGACATAAAACATTACAAATTCAAAAATACAAAACTTCTCCGCTTATCAATGCAAAAAGTGAATGGCATCATTATGGCTCGACACGGATTTAATTTGTGCACAGTCATTATTCCACTTTTGACCGACAGTGTACCAGGTACCATTGCGAATCGCGAATACCGAAAAACAAAGCACCTGAACGCACGATGTTATATGCGGAAAACGCGAGCCAAAGCTAGCCACGATCCATACCATCGATTTCCTGTATCGATCGTTAGAAAATCATAATCGCTGACCATCACATTCGCCATTACGTTCAGTTTCGTAACAATCGCGAAGAGGCAAACGCGAAGCGGTTT